TTAAGGTATAATAGTATAGTATAGCCTTTATTGTCATTGTCATTTATACAACGAAATTGGTTTTAGCCTCACTGATGCAATCCATGACAACAAATACAAACAATATAAATAGTATAAAGAATAATTCCAATGCAAGTAATTAGGGGGGGGGGAGAAAAGAAAGAAAAACCTAGTCATACGTTTCCGTGTGGAATGATTGTGGTTGTGTTTAAGAGTCTGACAGCCCAAGGATAGAAACTATTTTTAAACCTATTTGTTCGGCTGGCTATGCTTTGATGTCTTCTGCCCAATGGTGGAGGAGAGAAGAGACAATGACCGGGATGTGAATTATCTCTGAGTATCTTCCTTACTCTGCTAAAACAGTGAGACCTGGCAGTGTCATCTAGTAGTGTTAGAGAGCAACCAATGGTTTCTTGTGCCAAATTGATCACTCTCTGTAGTGCCTTCCTGTCCGCAACAGTTAAACCAGCGTACTATACTGTAATGCAGTATATGGGACTAGATCTCACAGTGTCCTGGTTTCTGTCCTAGTGCCTTAACCACAATTTGTCTCTTTTCCCATGCATAGCCCTCCGGTATTTACCTACCAATTCTTAACAGAGATCACACTCTAGCCCTAAATTCGAGTTAAGGAAACAAAACAGTGGTGTTCACCCAATGGTTGACTTTGTCCAACGTGCTGAATCCCGATCTGTCCATTCTATTTTAGTTTAATCCAGCATGCTGTTTAAATTGGCCTTTGTCTTTTTTTTCCTATTAAAAATATGTTAAGCAGCAAAAGATGGGAATTGCTCCAGAGTGAGTTTTTATTCATAACACTACAAGCTTTCCATGTCTGAACATCTGTAGTTGTAGGTATGCAGGCATAGGGATCTCTCTATCTCCCTCCCTCCCTCTCTCCCCCTCCCCATCTCTGTCCTCATCACTGCCAATTCCTATAGCTGCAGACCTAGGATTTACAATATCTACGGTATAATAAGGCAGGAAAAGACTTTTGCAGAGAACAACCTGGGCCATTTGCATTCCTCTTCTCTACATTTCAATCAGCTCAGAAAACAAAAGGAAAGGAAAACCCAATAGGTGCGGATTGCCAAAGAGCCCAAATCACCTGTGAATTGCCTGACTGGTAGCTAGTCTGAATAGAGAAGCTGCACTTTTGATTGGGATTCTTAAGGCAAAACAATTCCCACGGGGAGAGATGGACCTGAACTACATTAATTGGAGCTAGGATTTTGCTAGGCTGCACTTAAATCATTAGTTGTTTACCTAAAGCAGTGGACAAATGATGGCGAAATAGCTTCTATCTAAAGCAACTACTTTGGCTTAGTTAGATGTGTCTTCCTCATATTCCCTGCTCCCTTTGTGTAACCCACACAATTTCTGCCCTTCATTTCTTCACCCAAACTTTGGTTCACGAAAGCTGAGAAACTGTTTTGTGAAGAACGGAAAGCTGAAAAACTGTTTGACTACAGGTGAAGGGTGAAATTCCTTGGTTTCTGAGCATGGACAGCAAAGAGGATCGTGTCGGAGAAAAGTGCAGATTACATAATGTGTATGCATGTTTTCTGTCCCGAAAGGCTCACTTCTTTCTTGTGGATAGGTTATTATGTGCAGACAACTCAAAACAGGCAAGATGTGAATTGCAGCAGTGCACTTCCCACCTCTCCACTCCCTTCCCCACATATGTGCATAAATGTTATAGCAGGGCAACCCCAAGTAACCTGTTTTGACACACATACATACACCATGTGTGCTCCATGTGTGCATAGTCTAACTTTAATATGCCATTATTGACCACATTTCAGAGAAAGAAAACGGAACTAGATACAATGTTTTTGAACCACCACAGAAAACATTTGCAGTTTGCATACAAAAAAAAAAATCACAAAACTATCTTGGTGTGCATTTCATTAATCAGAGGCTGGAGATCATTATATTATGCCATTAGGTAGAGGAGCAGAGTCTATCCTTTTTCAGCACTTTGCTTGGGGTGGGTGTATTTAAAGCAAAATAAACTTCCCACTTTTTTCCTCATTGGAGCCTGGTGGTANGCATGAAGATACAAGTGATGAACCACCAGGAATTTGGGGACTGTAGGTTAGCTGGAAAGATTTTAAAAAGTATCCTGAAGAAGGCAACACCTTGTTACATGGTTGTGTTTGCATTTAGCTAGATTTGATGGAGAATTTACAAAACTATGTAGGAAGTAAACTCTCCATCAAATTCTATGAAAATCCAAACTTCCTCAAATGCTGAGTTTTGTGCTTAATACTAACTGTGCATGCCTGCGAGATAGCAGAAGAGTCTGTACTGTATTCTCTAATTTTTAACATGATTGAATAGTGAAATCTTAGTTTTGACCTTCAAGTGAAGAAGAAAAAAAGATTAGATTTATTTTTATTGAAAGAATTCTTGCTAAAACTCGTCAAAATAAAATTGTTGGACTAGACTAGTCATTGGGAAGGATATTTTCAGAAAATCAAAAAACTTCTAGTTCTTTCCTATAGCCTCACTTTTCTTTTCCCTTCCTTTCAGTTCAGTTCTCCACTTTCCATATCTATCCCTGACTTCTAGGCCCTTTCCCCAATCACTGATCAAAACATCTGAATGTAGCATCTACTACTTTAAAAAAAAATGCTCATTTGTGTTAATTTTTAACCAAACAGGTAGGCTGCCTGTAAAAAGAAGATTTGCAGAGTCTCAGTGTTGCAAAGTCTTGTTGAAAAAATTAGATAGAATTCATGCTTATGGGAGGGGATTCTGATTCATATTCTTGATGGGGAAGGCACTTTATGCTTTGCCAAATAACAGAGAAGGACCGGTTTAATTAGGGGCTTCTGTGGCTCTCCAACACTTTTCATGCTTAGATGGTTTGTTAGACCCTAGACACTAAAACATGATTAACTTTTTTCTAATTAATTTTCTTAATTACTACTTTTTATTCCAAAAGCCAGGAAAAAGAGCCAATTTGCATCTTATTGGATTGGAAGTCAAAGCAGGGCAAAGAAACAAAGGAAGGGAACAGCTTGGTAGGAAGAACTGGAAATCATCATGACTCAAATTTTCAGAATACACATAGAGGTGGTACACAACCAGGATTCATTCTGCTGTATTGCCAATAGCAATGCACATTACAATGACATCTGATGGCCTTGTTGAGTAAGGAACATTGCNGGTGCATTTGTTTATTTCCAGGAAAAAGTAGCTATTCCTAGTCTTAGTCATTTACCCTAAATTCTGTTTGCATACTTGATGGCTTGATTGCATCACTTTTCCCCAGAAGAATCACTACTTTCCAAATTTAAAAAATGTGACTTTGAAGTTGTATCCAATAGGGAACAGGCAATAGAAACAAACTGTCATAAAAAAGATACAGTTTAGGAAAGAAAATTTGACACACTGGATGTTTCTTTTTTGCACCAGAAATATTTGCTAAAAACCATTAAATTTAAACAGAATGATAAACACTATGACAAAAAGTGTGGATAAATGATAAATAAAACTATACATTGCAGAAAAGAGCCTTAGGCAAAATAGGTATGCCTCGACGTGCCAAAATACTCTGTATTATCAAAAGCTGGCAGAGCCCATTTCTTCCAGTCCTCCCCCCCCCCAAATCTATAGGACAGGACTTTACATCTTAAATGCGTCAATGGCCAAAGTAAAATATTAATGTTATTCTCAATGTCTCCTTTTGTCTTCCTTTCTTGTGATGGTTAATAATTCTATTTGCATCCCGGGGTGTGTATGATTATGTGTCAATATTCGTATGGCAATCCCTTTCCCTAACTCTGAGTAGCAGAAAATTTTCCAAATGTCAGTCACTAAATCTCTGACAATGGAAAGCAAAGGTGGAATGTAATGTGTGATGTTTTGTGTGTGAAGACCCTGTAGCATTAAACTATGAGTTTTTAAATTATTCAGCATAAACAATACTAAAACTGCTCTGTGGCCTTATATTTGCTTATCCTGTATTGCATTTTTTCCTCAGATTCCTCCCTCTCCTTTTGATTTAATAAAATCTTCTAAAATTGGATTTTAGTGTCAGCTGCCTTCCTTATGCATCCAAAAAAGTAATCTTCCCTGCTAAATTGCTTGATGTATAGTAGTATACGCATCAATCCAGGAGAAAATAAAAGAAAATAGGCTGAAGCTCAGCTAGAAGCTTTGTTATTGGCAGCCCCCTCCCTTCCCCTTCCATGTTATAATCCAAAGGCTGTGAGATTTCCTGAACCTTCTGTCCAAAGAGGAATGGAGAAGTCTGTGTGGCAACAGACTGGGTAAAAATTGAGATTGCATGTGACAGAGAAAATTAGATCTAATAGCTGAAGGGAATTAGGCTACTGGCCCTAGGCTAATTCATTGGGTGTTTTGTTTTTCTTTTTGCATCTGCCTCTGGCATAAATTATTTGTATTTGTCTTGGCCTAGATTAATGGCAGCAATGGGTTTCGCTATGAAAACTTGAGTTTCTGACAAGTATGGGTACATGGGTGCACATGAGTGGGATGATTGATGTGATTATGCTTCTTACAGATCAGGAGCTGGGTCAAATTTGAATGAGGAATTACCTGCTCAGAAGACCCTCAGAGCATCAGAGAAGCGCGTATTTCATTTGTATTAGAGAAGATTGTTTATGGGGAACAGTAAGGGTCCTAGAAGTATTCTTGTGTTCTTATATATAAGTCTGGATGCTGACGCCTATTGCTTTGCCATACAGTATGCCAACTTCCCATTTAATTATTTTTAAATTAAGAACCAAGCCAAATGAAGTCAGATGGTGCAAGGAACCTGCCAGAAAATACAATTGGCTGCAAAGATGTTGATGGCCGTAAAATCATGCCTTCTTGACAGGAGTCTTTTATAGTTTTTCATAGTATAATGGATTTGGCCTTTCTGTTCACTCTAGTTTTCTTTTTCATGCAGGCTGTGCTTCTTGTGAATCCATCTGTCAGATTCTTTGGAACTTCATAATCTACCTCCACCTCAATTGCTACTCTCATTTACCCTCATTTACAGCTCTGCAGGTCATAAAGTAAGAGATTCCCATCTGCTTTGATTCATGTGGCCAGGATGATGCATTTAGATGTAAAATTACTGAAATATATTTAATAACATTCTTGCTGGTTTTGAAGAAACCATTGTATACCTATACTAACAACATTTACTTTACTTTATTGTCATTGTA